TCCATAATAAGTCTATTAAAACTGTTTGAAACTAGTCTAATTTATTTGGAATGAGTTTACAAACATGAATAATACTCAGAAGAACCTTCCCTGAGTGTAGAGAGGTTGGTGGAAAATGCTCAATTTTAGCAAACTTAAATATGTATTATACTTATATGTGTATTCTGTATCCTGGTTAGAATTCAATATGTAAATTAACAATAAAGTTATATTCTTCATTTAGACTAGTTTATAGTATTGTACAATCAGTTTTAGGGCCAGGAAAACTCATATACATGAAATATAGGGAAAACTCACATATTGTGTTGTATCTTACTCAAATTTTGCTCATTTTACTTTATTTTTTCTAGAATATGAAAGACACTTTAAAAGTATAATTTTTACAACTTAGATCATGTAATTTGGTTAAGTATTAGTTGAGTTATGATAGATTTTGTATTTGAGTGTACTTAGTGTGACGAAAATCACGAATCACGCGTGTGACAATATTTATGAAAACGACAGTAATGTTGACTACTATGTCTAGTAGGACATCACTTGCTTGTAACTTGGTGTATATCTATAGAATTTCTCACGCGGCATTGATGGAACTTCATGGAAGTGATTCATCATTCAAGCGTCGTCTTTAAGTCAAGGAGGCAGCGTGTCGTGGGTGGCTCGGGTTCCGTTCCCGCCCAGTGTAAGAGACTTAGAGCCTGATACGTGTGATTCGTAGGTATGCCTTTGAATATTATTGCCTTTACAGTAACGATGAGTCATACAAGCTTGCCAATACAGTTAACTGGTTCGGAGAAGCTATTCAAAATATAATCACACTCATGAATGTAAGGTGAATAGCAGAGTAGCGAATTACAGCCTTCGAACGTCAGAAATCAAGATCCATAATCTGCTGTGTTCCACAGAGGATATGTACATTCATCAAATTTGTGATATATCAAACTCGTCATTCAAGACTGTGAAGTAGCCAGCAGTATATAATTTGTATCAACGTTGATGACAAAGATCAATGTTCTGTATCATTGCAGACGAACATTCATCAATCCATGTCATACTCGGGGTCGGGTAGTGTTGCCCATTGGTTAAGCATCTCTTTGAAGTTCATCCCATTCCCCTTCAACCAGTCAAAAGTCGGGGCGTCCCCTCTCGTCACACGCATATTTACATACTTTGTGCACGTTTCATGAGGATTGTCCATCACAAAACTAGATGTGGTCTGACAATACATTGTATGTCATTCTAATAACTATAATATATAAAAGATATAGAAGTCTGTCAATGATCATTACATTGGCATCTGCTGCTAAGACATGTCTTTAGAAGGTCTGTAAGACTTCTAAAATTTACAATACTTTCATAAATTGTCAGAGTATACAAGACTTGCACAAGTATACAAGACTTGAGTGAGAATACAAGCTCTTACCAGAGTTGCTCAACAATAAATGCTTCATACAATAATCATTCTTTCTTATCATTATTGAATTAGAAAACAAATATATTATACTTGAGTAAATAATTACAGGCGAAAGTATTTACTAGAACTACTATTAAATCCTGTACCACTCTTATTTCTTCCACTCATACCCACATTGCCTCCCATAGTTCCTCCAGAAGATCCACTGGGCTGGCTGGCTGAAGAAGCACCTCCAGAACCTGAGGGCCTTGGCCCTTCATCATTGTTGTTGTCGTCATTATGAGCACCATTGTCTGGTTGCTTGCTAAAGTCAGCTGGATGCTTAGATTCTTGTTCCCTGTCAAACTAGTGAGAAAAAGCCATGCCAGAACATTACAACAATACAGGTCGACCGAACCGGACGCGTGATGTATGGATAGGGGGACAGGGAGCATGCTGATCAGACAGACTGTGGAGGTGATAGTAACGGGAAGTGCGAGCGGACGCGTGCAGGCGTCGTGAGGGACCAAGGAAGCCCGTGAAGGCCGTGTAGTGAAACACAATGCAGGCAAGATGTGCGGCTGTGCGGCCGGGTGCGGAGGGCAGGAGCAGAAGAACAGTAGCGAGAGAGGATGGATAGATAGACTGCAGTGACCGCAATTTAGTGCAGGGGGCAATATGAGAGTGGTGCATTGGGGGCGATCATCAGACATACGGGGGTCGATGTGTCCATGGGCGGCATTGCATCACATCACACATTACACAGTTTGTTTGGGGGGCCACAGTAAAGTCCACAAGGGAGAGCGCGAGAAGAGCGGGCGAGTGTCAGCAAGCAGTCACACAAAGTAAACAAAATAAAATGTAAAAAGAAATAGGGATAAAATAATGAGTCAATGGCTGGCGTGAAGATTAGGAGAAAGGGGCCAGCTGCGGTGACCAGCGGGCGGGGCGCATGGCAAAGAAAGGAAACACGAAAGACATGTACACACATGGATGTGTCGTTGGACCATGTTGTCGACGTCGGTCGAGCAGTACTCGTGCAGCTTCACATGGCGGCCGGCCCGTTCCTCTGCAGCGGCGTCGTCATCATTGGCGTCATCGGCCATCGGCATCGGGAGTTGCCCCCGGGGCGGTCAGGGCGCGTCAGACGAAGAAGGGAATCGACATGCTGCCGTTGACATCGAGCAGGAAGATAGTGTTCCAAAAATAGAGCAGGCAGGTGTGTGAGAACAGGGACGCAAGATGCGCGACAGAACGGCCTTGAACGCACCGAAGATGATCACTGCTACGTCCACAGAACACAACATTCCCAGCTCATATGCCTTCTTGAATAGCCCGTTCTTCCGCTGCACGCCATGGGCAATTTCGACGCGCCAGCCAAGAACATGTAACAGACAGACAGCGCAGCACAGCACACAGAGTGGTTACCGACAGCCGACAGCCGACAGCGAAGGGAGATATAAAAAATAAATAGGCGTTAGTCTCCGTCGAAATAATTATAGCGAGCGCACAGCAGCACAGCAGCGCCACTCAGTCAATGCGTCACACTAGCACTGCAGCTCCCGCACAACGCGTCGCAAAAACACTGAGAAACACAACTCACCTTGAGAAAAAGTCACTGAGCGAATTGC